TGCTCTTTGATTTCTAAACAGATAGTACTCTCAAGGTGCGTTGGGGGAGTAACCTATTTTTACGATTCCATTTGGGATGCTTGAAAGGCTTCATACTTAGCTGTGTCAATGAAAGGGTGGTAATAACTGAATGCGTGCCATAGACGTTTACTATATCGAGTGCTTCGTATATGTTCTCCATGACTTAAAAGTGACAGAAGCCAAGTATTGCATCGTCACACCGATATACTCCAGAAGTTGTCGCGAACGAAAAAGTTCGATGCAAAATCATGTTTGTAGAAGGTGGCCCTTTGAGTGCATAAATCGATCTCTTGTGCTTGGGCTCCTCTTTTGTTTTCTTACTTCGTCGCATGTAATCCCTGTTCGAGTGCATCTCACAGGTTTCGCCCATTTTCCTTCCCAGTTGCATTGCCGACTGGCGCGCGGACACTAACTCAATTTAAATGGAGAGGGCGAATCGGATCTGCAACGGTTGGGACATTTAACTAAACAAGAAAACAAAGCGAGACGTTATCGATTAGGACACGCATCGGAGGGCGGTTTCAAAATCGGCAGTTAATTTTCCGAGTCCTCCTTTCTCTCTTCAATTCACAAGCGTATGTGCACAAGTCAATAAGAAAAAAAACACGAAGGTGAATTACATATATATTCATCGGAACCTTTTTAGCGCTAACTTTAGATCATTGTTCCGCATAAACCCCCTGCAAACTGATGCATTCGTCCCATCTTGCCATAAGCCTCCTAATCAGACAGCAAATATTTTTTGGACTGATGTTGCAGGCATACTCGGGACAGTGTTCACTACAGCGTCGTCGTCTGCAAAGTTATTTCCTCGCAATGTCTCTTTTAAGGGACCGAATATATACTGATCGGATGGTGCAAGGTCAGAAATACACTATAAAGTGAATTTAGCAGAACCTCCCATCCAAGGTTGCTGATGGTTTCCATGGTTTTTGTCGATACAGATCACTCATGTAATGTCGCCCATTCTCCAGCAGTTCCACCAACTTATACACATTTCGGCGGTTCATGCAGTTACCTCCATTTACTTTAATTCGAAGTGGTCAAAAGTTGTGGTGGTGCTCGTGGTCGTGGCTGTCCCCCCCACGTGCGGGTCCACGATGCAATTGCATTCTGGGTCATAAGTCAGGCCATCCACGGCCTAAAGCACAAGGCTTACAAGGCTGCGCCTTTTCAAGCCTTCATATATACTTTAAATCAAAGACCTCGAGAATTGTAGTAGTTGCCACCCCACCGCGCGAGGGCTACGAGACAATGAAATTTCATGCCATAGGCCATCCACCCCTAAAAGCGCCATGTCCAAGAGGCTATGTTATTCTAGGCCATAGGCTGGGCCATCTAAAGCTTTTTGAGCTAGGTCTATCGAGCTCAATCAATCTGAGCCATAGGCTTCATACTTAGCTGTGTCAATCAAAGGGTGGTAATAACTGAATGCGTGTCATATTTACCCTGATTGACTGCAAGATCTTCATTTGAATACATTCTTTGCTACGGTGTTATTTTCTGTATTTTCTTTCCGTTAGGTCAGGCGTGGCAGTTCGGGACATCACTTCCATGGAATAGTTCACTGCGTTTCATGTCATGGCCAATTCCTTTGAATTCTCATGATTGATGAAATCAAAATAATAACGTAAGTTCTTTGTTTCATACGTGCGTATACGGGCTGCTCCTCCCGTGCATGTCATTTGACGATGAGAGAAACCGTCTTGTTACCGTGTGAAGCACACGTCTCCCAAGGAGACTAAGGAATTCGAGGATAAGGAATAGCATCCAATGCTTTTTCTGTTGTAAGTCAGGACTGGGGTTCACCAGATACGAGAGCACAATCGTAAGGACGGCGATGAGGCAGTCGCTGCAAATAATAAACGATTGGTGCTGGCGCGGAAACAACGTTTGCCGTTGCATTTGCGGTGCGAAGTGCCTAAATCGGTTCTTTAGGAGGTGGTAGCCGGAATGGCTAGAATGACTAAAGAACGTTGCACGTTGAGAGTGTAAGGCTGAACAGCAACAGGCAGCGAATGCTGAACTCTGAAGTAGGAGAGCCATGTAGCCTGCTGGGGAACTTGATGTAAGGAACGCAGCACTCAGGTGTCGAAAGCCGGGGTTGCGGCCGGGAATTGAACCCGGACCTCCTGCTTGCCGGTCAGAGGTGCTACCATTACACCACGGAATTCGTGACATGTTGTCAGGCCTCACCATGTCATCTCATAGCGCTACAGTCGTTTGCGTAGCGAGCACTGTCAGGCTGTACATTTTGATGTAGGGTACATTTTGAGGCATTTGTCTCAGAGCGGAAAAATGCTCCTGCTGCAACTCACACTTTGCCTTGAGGCTCTGAAAGTGTTGCTCACTGGTGCTAATGTCGTGGCGAGGCATTTTCTGTAATTTGTCGCTAGCATTGTGACGCAAATGTAATAAATTCCCTTTGTGCCTTCGAACAAGTTCTTAGAAATTATCTGTACTGTTTCAGAATCATTCGTGTCTGTACTATATGCTTACGCTAATAGCACATGAGCTAATCTGTGATGTAAGAGTATTGAATGTGGTAGGGAGACGAAATCAACGAAGTGAAGGTAAGGCTTCTGGGTGTTTTTCGTGCGTTCGATCGAGGATATGGAATTGGAGATTTCGTTCATTCGAGATTCCAGCTTTCAAGAGTCTGGGTTTCGAGATTCCGTTCGCATACGCTCTCTTCTGGGCATGCGGACGACACGATCACAAAGGTCGGCATCGGAAGGAATCGTCGCATCGATGAAACCTTTCGTTGGAAATCCCTCGGGCCGATGAGGCCGTTCCGGATTCGCGAAGAAACCGGCTTTTTCTCCTCCTTAGATTAGGAGGGAAAGCCTCGGCACGACAGCTATACGTTTATCGCGGAAGTCGGGGGAAACGAGAGAAGGGAAGGCTTGGATTCTCTTGGATTCCATCCGAGGCTACGTCGGATAGGAGGCAGTGCCCGAGGAAAAGAAGCACGTCGTGCCCATTCGATCCTCATCGGCATCGAAAAATGACCAGATTCTTCTTTCTCTGGATTTCCATCCTCTCCCCTTCCTCCTCGGCGGCCGGGCACCAACGCCTTCAAAACGGGACGGAGCAGGGGGATCCCCAGCAGGCGCCCTGCGCCCGCTCCGAATCTCACGCCGGCTTAGTGACGGTGGATTGTTCCAATGCCACGACCGGCGAGGAGCTCCGGTCGACCTTCGAGTCATCCTGGCGCCAATTCTGGTAAGTCACGTCTTTCCTCCGCGTTTCTTGCGACTTTTCAGCCAGAATAAAAAGAGTTGAAAATGAGTTGGTTGAAGGAGTCGGGCCGAACTAATGTTAGTTCTGAGAATGATCCTAGCATTTCCAGTTGGTTTACGAAGCAAACCAAGTGATTCATTCCTATTTTCGACTTCCAAGAGATACGGACCTCTGAGAAGCCAAACAAACCCATTTCAATGTCTCAGTTCCCGCACTGTTAGATGAAGGAAACCCCCCCCCCACCCCCACCCCCCCAATTATGAAGCTTCATCTGCGGCGACGTGAGACCTCCCATCGGAACAACGACTTCGTACATACTATTGGGCCCATTCGAAGCAGGTACAGATGGTCCGGTTATCATTAGGAAAGCGTTACTTCTTTCTTTCATACCCATTTCTTCCTGTTGCAAAATTTCATTTCCTCGTAATTCATTCCGAGAGCATCTGGAGCAGCCAAATTAAGCATGCTTCCAACCCTCTGAACGCAGAATCACCCCAGCAAATTTGAAGCTTCATTGCCATGGGGTAGTGGAGGAAACACAATGACTTTTTATTAGTAGTAAGTGCAAATTTTTTTCTGAAATTTATTCCCCCTCCCCCCCTGGATCTCGGGTGGGGGCATATTAGGAGGAAATAATCCAACGGAAATAAATATACCTATATGATCTCGTAGTTGTGTGCTGTCGATGCACCTCTTCGTAGAGAAGAACGAAATGAGCTAATACTTATTTGCACTTCTCGTGCCGGTTCCAGTCCCATCCTACGGTTGTCTCATATCGCTCTTCCTGGTTCCTGCGACGACGTCGCAGGCACCAGGAAACAAATAGATGTTACGCGTACAGCCGAGGTTCGTTAGGAGGGAGGGAGGTATTTGTATTTTCCATTCCAGCTCTTTCAAGCATGCGCTATATACAGTACAAATCCGATGTCTGTGACGCTACGCCGCCTCGTGAGTCGTTACGAGACGAGGGAGGGAGCCCGCAATCTCTACGAATCCCAAACGTTTTCAGGCGAGGGTTTTGAAAAATGGGCAGCAATAAAAAACGGCATATTCCTGGTGCATCCATACACACTTCCACCGTACGTAGTCACGGAAATTGTTCCTACTTTGAGTCAGTATTCATGTACCAGGGAAGTGCATCGGTACTAAGTGCGGCTTTTTTGTACACCTAAATGCATAAGCTTCTCAATGTAAACATGTATTATATATAAATATAAATATATAAGTCATGACTAAACTTACTAGTTTACAACGATGAACACCAAATCTGGAATTTAAGAAATGTGTTCCTCGCGGTTATTCATGAGTGGTAAAACACCTAGATATGAAAGAGTCATTTATTAGTTCATTTTAGTGGGCCGCATAAAACCATAAACTGGGGCGCATTCGGCCCGCGGAAGGCACTTTGAATACCGCTGGTATACATGATATTTGCAGGGGATCCTTTCATCACGGGATCCTTTATCGGACAAAAAACACGACTGCCGTGCCGCAGAATGTATCTTTCCATAGCCTGAAAGTACAAATCCCATCCCGCAACTTTTTGGGGAAATTTTCTGTTACAACGCCAATTATGGTTTCACTGTCGACAATTTCCTTTTTAGAACCGTTGCACAACTCAGCTGAAGAGCGTTAACGAGCTTCGCATAATAATTTTAAAAATCCGGCTGCCAGCGCTTACACGAGAGATTCAGAACACCCTTTCTCCCGTCATCGTCGTCCCCTTCGATGCGGGCTCACCACGTTTTCAGCGAGAAATGAGAATCTCTGAAGATGAGATGATCCGTGGAAGACTGGGGATCATCCCTCTCCCACCCTCCCTCCTTCCCTCCATCCCTCCCTCCCTCCTCCCTTGAGGCCCTCCTGGAAAGTAAATACTGAGAAAATTAAGAACAGTCGGTGATTATGTTCCCGACGGTTGAAATTCGTGTTACAGGTTTAGAATGACAATGAATTAAGAACCTTACGGTATCGTCAATTCCGTCAATGAAGCCGTAACTTCACTTCGTTATTACCGTGGTACTCGTAATAACTGAATCCGAAATGAATGCTTTATAAAATGCACGCACCTCATGGACTCTGGCCCGGGAACAGACATTCTCCTTCGCTATAGCATAGGTCTTGCAATCGGAGGTCGTCGTGACCAAGTTCGACTGTAACTTGAACAAATTTCCCACTTCACGAAGACGAACATATACATTTAAGTACTAACATCTGCAGAAAATACGTAAATATATTTGCAAAGGATTTGCCACGGATTTGCAAAGGTGCATTCCTTCACTGCCGCTGTTCGACCGAGGTCGGGAGGCCATCATCACCGGACTTGGTTTTTTTTAAAATACTTTATTTAATTAATTAATAATTTATTTCATAATGAGAAATAATTTAGTTAAAAATTCCCCATTTGCGGATGGCCAGAGAGTGCCTGTCCATCAATTTCATAATTGATAAATTTGCATGGCGTTGGGCGAGTGCATCCCAGACCACTCTGAAATACTGCGTGCCAGGTTTCAACTTGGATTTTTGGTGCCTTGGACGATGCGGTCGTGAACGTCCCGAAGTCCAGTTTCGAACGTGGGTTTCGCTCCATCTCTTCTGTTCTGTATACCATCGCTGCGATACCCTGCATCGCGACGTACGGGTAGATGACGAATAAGTGAGTGACTACCGAACAAAGGATGTGCAAAAGCAAAAAGAATCTGCGGGGAGAAACTGTACTCGAGGCTCGAAGCCACCGTTGCTATTACGTGTCCTTGACGTCTTCAGAATGAAAAGGAGAAGTGAGGTGAGACGCGCAAGAAAATGGGAAAAGTCGCGCCTACATGAAAAAAGTTTCAACGGTGAAAAGGGTGCCACAGAGAAAAGGAAGACGTAGAAAATGAAAATGCAGAGAAATGACGCACGGTAAAGTAACCGCGGAGAAAATGATCCCAGCTAAATTTAATGAAGAGAAATGTCGTGCCACTCTTTGAGTGAACTAGGAAAAAAAAATTTTTCCGAGCCCTAAGAAGGAGGAATCGTGGCGAACAACTTTAACGGCGCGTTTGCTTTCGGCAATTAATTTGGGAATTCAGAAAGCCTTGGCGTAATAGCGTTCACTCACCCCTTCGACTTCTTTCGGCATCATTTCGGGCGAGCGATCCAGGAATGATACCGTCGAGGTTCCGCACAGAAGGACCCGTGGGCAGATGTCCTCGAAAGCCAAGTCATCACGCCGGTTGAAAGCCGGGAACGAAAACGTTCACGGAAGAAGACGGAGAGCCGATAGCGCGAACTCACTCGTCGGGAAGACGAGAGGACGAAAACCTACCCGAAAGACGGGCGTATCCAGACGGGATTTTCGGATCGCAGCTCCCTTTCGCCCACGACGTCACTCCTGCCAAAGTAAAAACTGGGGATCTCGAGCACTCTCCTTCCTTTGCGTCCGCAGGTACTCAGCCCTCCGTTGGCTCTTCCCGTGGATGTCGAGTGTATCTGGTTATCGTTGCCAGCCCCGCTCCTCCGTCTCCCTGAGGAATTCGGTCCCTCGTTTCGGTCGACCGATGACATCCGAGGAAGGAAAGACCCAAGCCAACCGAAAGACGGACGTATCCAGACGGGATTTTCGGATCGCAGCTCCCTTTCGCCCACGACGTCACTCCTGCCAAAGTAAACACCGGGGATCTCGAGCACGCTCCTTCGTTTGCGCCCGCAGGTACCCGCCCCTTCGTTGGCTCTTCCCGTGGATGTCGAATGTATCTGGTTATCGTTGCCAGCCCCGCTCCTCCGTCTCCCTGAGGAATTCGGTCCCTCGTTTCGGTCGACCGATGACATCCGAGGAAGGAAAGACCCAAGCCAGAATGCTCCGGGGGAACTCACGTTGCAGACTCGTCCCTCCCGGCTCGAGGCACAGATCATCGTCTCTTCGTCGTAGAGAGACCCGATCACTTTGGAGCAGATCTCGGGAGGGAATATATGAACGATCGTCATTCTTTCCTTTCTCGGCAGCGGCCCCACCTTCAATCCACCTGAAGGTCCGCCAAATGTAAATAAGCTCCTACGTCTTCCCACGACCACATGTTTTTATGATGCATAAAATCGGTGCGACCTCTCTGTGGAAGGCCCCAGCCGACGACTACTCCCTCCCTGATCGTCTCGTCGAAATGCTCGTCGGCTTTCGGGAGGCAGATGGGACGAATATTGGGATAGTTGAGGAAGGGCGCCGGATCGTCCAGGAGAACGACCGCCAAGTCGTACCGGTGAGTGTCGATATCGAAGGCCGGATGGATCACGATCTGCCCGATCTTCACGTCCAGCTGACCGGCTTCGGGTCGAAGTCTGTCGTGATCGCCCAGGGACACGTAGAACGAGTCTGGATCTTCCCTGGTGCAAAAAAGAAGGATCGCATTTTTGCGCGTAGATTCTGCGTCTTACCTAACGCAACACTTCTTGCGTTCAAATATGAGGAGCACTCAAATTTGTAGATGAGCTCCATGCGAAACAGATCTCGAAATCGGTCAGTCTGAACGGATCCCTGTTTTTCTGAACTTAGTGGCCACCCGTCCCAAAGATACTCATAAAATACCATCACCCAAAACAAACATCCCTAATTAATGTATGGCTCGCCGACATAAATTTGCGGTGGCATCATAGAAGCCCACTGCTGAGCAAGCCAGCCCACTGCCTCAACCTCATTGGCATGTACTCGCCAACCTTTAAGTGCTGTGCATGCAACCCATTAAGAAAATACTTGTGTTAGTCTAATTCACGCCATGCAATGGATTCAAGATTTCAAAATGTAAAGAATGAGTCGATTCCACAGTGCATGTCATACCTTCTCCGAAAAACATGAGAGAGAGAAGCGGTCTCATATTTCACAGCTAAGTATAGCTCTGATGCCAACGCAATATGGGCGAGCCCGGGATCGCGAAAACATTTCATTTTGACGCTAGTGTACAGGGTATCATCCGATCGAAGATATCGTTCCTCCTATAACATGTTTAGGACGGTGACGAAAGGAGAGTGATAGCCGACATACATGTAAACGCAATGGGCGGCCGTGAGGACGGAGTGACTGTTGATGAGGGTCCCCCGCAAACGAACTCCCCGTCCCTCGTCTTGAGAGCCGCGGTCCAGGGCCAAGACCCGGGGACGGTCTCGCCTTCCGCGAGGACCTCCTTCTCCGTTTCGTTTCCCGTTCCGACGGCGGGACGCGGGGTCAGGCCGCAGTCTGGATGCAGAAGTCGCAGTGAAAGGTCTCGGCGATGCGTTTCGCCGAGTTTTAAATGGGATTCGTTTCGGTAAAAAATTATTAAATGCGTGATGGTATTCTCCAGCTTCGCATTAAATTTGTACTCGGTTACTTCTCACGTTCATTTCTTTCATTGACAATTATGAACATTTTTCCAGCATCTTCAAAAATAAGAAATTCAAAGCATACTAATAAATAGTCGTTGTTTTCATCTATTGAAACCATGCACGTACAGTAATACCACGGTGGAAGAATTCCATTTCCCAGGACGCCAGCGAGGTAACGTTCGGGTCATTAATGGGGGTCGAGGGTCATTTCAAGCTGTTTTCTTTTCACCGTATGCAATGGAATCTGCGCACTCACAGCAATCTTTCATGATGGGAGGTGCTCGCTCGCAGAACGGAACGTTCCCCGTCCATTTCCCGCTCTCCGCGCAGGTCCGAAACCGGGATCCCCTCAGGACGTAGTGATCGTCGCACCTGTGTTCCGTTATGCTTCCGACCGCGTACTTGCCCTCTTTGATGCACTGGGTATTGCTTCTTTCGTCGGCTCCTTCACTTGCATTGCTGAAAGCAGTTCCGCAACTTTTATTTCACGGCAGGCCATTTTCGCAAGCACGGAGAGAGCCTGCCGCGAATCTTTGCGATTCGGTTCCTCACCTCGAGAAAATATCCGAGCAAGACGTTAGCGTGAATCCGTTTTGTAAGGCAGGAGATTCTTCGCATCCGCTCGGACCCAAGACTGGAAGAGACAGATCTCGAGTGCTCTCAAGAATGTTTCTCCAATTTTTTTTTTCATACATGATCATGGCAAAACGCATGGGCCGTGATGCAATAGTTCATGCATTCGTTTGATGTTCCGATATTTGTTTCACGTTTTTTTTCGCGGAAGAAATCCGCATCGAATTTTCTTTTTTTTTGTGTGACTAATTCTGCACCTTGAATTTGTCTATTTGTCTATCCTAGCAGTATACAGGGTGTCTCAGAAGCTGCGAAATATTCTAAATCGCAATTTCTCGGCGCCCACCTCCAGGATCGAAACTATCTATACAGCAATGAAAGCAGAATGTTAGGGGAATTTATTTGACATATGAACGAACACCATGAGTAACTGCGATAATTCGAAGATGGTTTTCATGTTTCATCATAAATTGTTTTTCGTGATCGTTTCCACCCATGCGACGGGCGCAGAGAAACTGCGATTTACACTCGTTCGCAATTTCTCATACACCCCATATATTTAATTTCCTTAAAATAATCCCAAAGAGTCCATACGCATGCATCAACCACTCACCGATGAATCATCACCCATATCGGCACGAAATTTATCTGGCCTTCTCAAAATTCAAGTATGAGATCAGGCGTTAACGATGACCAAGGTCAAATGAAGCCGTTCGACCGACAAAGAAGTCGCTTCTACACTCTTAGAAAAAGGGGAGCGATTTCTCTCAAAAAAGAGAGCAAAATAGCTAACTCCAGTTTCACCCCCCTTTTACTCTGGGAAAGGAGCGAATTTGCTCTATCACCAAGGAGTAAAATTTCTCTCCTCCTTCGTGAGCAAAAACGCTCCCATCAGAAAGTGATGGAGATGTCATGCAAATACGAAAATTCTTATATATAATGTGCGTCGCTATCGCTCTCGTACAGGTGATGACCTACCTCTGCCTGTACTGAATACAACACACGTCAGAGGATAGTCCACCTCTTATGGGTTCCGTAGAGTGTCCGAGATATCAGTCCCTTATTACCTCATTCATTGAGGTATGAGGGAATGAATTCGCGGACACACTATACATTCTAGATCTCCTATGTGGATACAAAGATTCGCGTTTTTTTTTTTTTTTTTTTTTTTTTTTTTTTTTT